ATGATTGGTATCAAGTTGGCAGTTTTTATTTTGATTTAATAATACAGGTTCTGTGTTCATGCTTAGTTTATTTGGTTAAAATGATTTCAATTCTGGATTTTTTTACACAAAATGTGAATTACATGTACATGACAATATTACCAAGTATACGTTTTCTTAAACTACCTGGTATGTATAAGATCTTGATGAAATAAGAGTTCTGAAACAGAATGTGATTTCATTATTACAGATCAAATAGGCATTTAACTATATCAAACCAATACATGGTTTTTTCACCCATTTATATTTAACTCCTAAATTTATCATTCGGGGAAATATATCAAGTTTGGCGATTTTTTTGTGTCACCAATTTGAAAGTTGTGTTCCACTGCTATGACTAAGTAATGAACAATCCGGTTTTTTTTTAAAGAATTTGACAATACACACTTGAAGAAACAATTCCAAAATAATTGTACTCTGTATTGTTTGAATATGAGTAATTTGTGATATTTTACTCGATATGTGATAAAGTCTAACTTTTTGGTAGTCCTCAGTAAAGGGACCAATGTAAATGTCAATATCTATACTAATTAATTAAAGTTTTGTTTGATGTTTTCACGTGAATTGTGTTAGTTTTAACAGGTTAAACCATTATAGAGATATTTGATCTGTCTTACAAGGAAAGTCTACTGAATCATATGCATATATTAATGCACATTAGACAACTGGGAAAGGGTCATATTCTTGGACGAAAGAAAAATTATTATTGGAATGGACCACCGTCCAGATAGCACGATTGTTGGAAATGTTTGCTCGTATGTCAAATAAAACTCCAATCCCGCGTTACATTTGTAAAATTGAAATAATTGAGAGAAATACAAAAATGTCTGGATAAAGATTACACCTGCCTACATCCTCAGCTTATGAGACCCCTTGACGAGTTTTACGACATTTTGTATCGTCCGTATTTATGTCAAAATCTAAACACGCCGCCATTGTGACCGAATGCTTTCGGCACTTCACTTTATGCGTACCTACACTTGTTTTTCTTATTTCTTTATCGTCATATCAATCTGGTAAATAATGCATGCTTTGCAGTGACTGTAGCGCATAGTGCGTTACTTATTGTGTAACGATTTAATTTTTTTTTCAAATAAATGACATGTACTGCAGTTCATCGTCACAAGGATGCATATTATAAATAAGCGACTTAGTAAACTAAAGACTGAATGTTAGTAAGATAAGAAATAGAAGTGAATTGGTTCTATAGTGAAGTGATCAAATAAAGCTGATATATCTTACTTCAACTGGTGAATATTCCTATTTTTATAGAGGGAATTGATAGCTAATGTTTCAAACGTAACAACAGATCTTTCATTGTTGATCTTTGATCAATAGATTTTACCAGATATGTATTTCACTGCTATCGTGTTTGCTTGAACATCCATAATTGGTGATATACTGTCCGATATATGGTGAGGTATGATGTCGATAACTTTGATTGAGGGGCCAAGTAATCAAATATTAATGCAAACAAGTATATTTAAAGCACAATGACAACATAAGTAAGAGTGACGTCTAGTGATATCTTCTGCATTAGTGCCGAAAAAAATTCAGGAAAACATAAAGTGTTGTTAGTCAAACAAACTCAGGTGGACGAGAGAAAAACCGAAATAGGTGTGTAGTACAACAAAGAAAAAAAGATAATATTTACTACTCCAGTCAGGCTGCAGCAGGATACTTACAAACTGAAATAAAAAAAGAAAAAACGATTAGGAAAAATGATAATATGAAATTTGCATATACAAGTCACGACAAGTTAAGTCAACTTCTCAGCATGCATTGATTAAATTAAAATCAACAAATCTAAAAGGACATTTTGTGTCGGATGAAACACAAAATTTCAGGTTATTGAGATTAGTGAATGTCCTAATATGTTACCATTAGTTATCTGCAAATGCAAAAGAAAATGAAATATAAAACAATCGTCTATTACTTATCGGTGGGGGGAACGAGGTTATTGTGCGAGTCAATAAGATAAGTTTTTACTCAAAGCTACTTTAAAATCACATGAAAAATCAAATAGGTCACCTTTTAAATATATTGTTGTGAAGTAAGTATGATTTCTGAATAATCGTAATGAGCGCACACAGTTTTGAAATTTCTTTATTAAAAAGGAGGATCACACACGTGTTTGATAACAAAATAAACGTTTAGAGGAACCTCAACTAAAGAAATGATAACTGTAGCAGTAAATTTATATCAGTATTGATAACTAACGAGATCCTCAGTAATTCATTGAAGTGTTTTGAACTAGAAATCAGTTATGCAAATTATACATGTAAAGTTCTGATAAGCTTAACTAAAACTATCCAAATTATCTGATAAGTGATAACACTGACCACAACATGTGGTAAAAATGCTTTAAGAGACACGAGAACCAATTAAATATAATAAATAATAACATTGAACATGTTATATATAAAATACTTTAGAATATGTGAATGACCGCTGCAACTCACTCATGGCAATGTTGTATAATAAAAAAACTCGTTAACAAATTGGACTTATTGTAGAAAATTGTAGTTATTTGATAATTTAATGTATATATACATGTGTACAAAATACCGAGTTCATCATAGATATGTATCTACATGATTTGTTAACTTTTTATATCCTCAGTTGATCATGATTGATGTTCATTGGAAGAGTGAAAAAGTTAATGTACTTGATACGTTGATGTTGATAATCCGTTAGCCAATGTTATACTGATCAACTTGTTTGACAAATAAGATGTCACGTATAGAGTGACATGTTTGGGAGACAAAAGAGTTGTTGGTAAGGCGAAGCAGTATTTGCAATAATTGTGTAAACTTGAAAATCTATTCCTGTTTATATCAAGACGTGTACATTAGCGAAATTTGATCTAAATAACCTTACATTTTTATTAATTGTTATATGAAATCACTTTTGTTACATATCGATACTGAGTTTTACAGTTTCAGAAGTTATCTGTTTAATAAAACTAGAGTAATTTGAGAGATAAATGCTGTCATTGTTCTGTCTTAATAAACTTAAATAAAATAGTTATATTTGCAGAATATACTGAATACAGATTCAAATGTTTACATGTACAGAAAGCTTGCTAACCAAAATACAAAAATGTTTACAGAACTTAGTACACAAGGATTAGTAATATATATTTGTCAAACATTTCCCTAAATGGTTGTTTTATTAACTATGTCTAATATCATGTTATATTATATCTATGCTGTTTTTGCAAAATACGTAGTACTTATCCTAAAAACATTGCGGCTACTTGTACATTTGATAGAAAAGGTGCAGCATACATTATCTCTTGTTTACAATGACCACTACTGTTAACCCAAATGGCATTCCCATATTCAAGTACAGGCCAATCCATATTACTTTTAACATTTCTGGAAATGTCAAGGAAACATTTGCAGGAAGTGTTAGGGTGTTTGCAGTTATAAGACATTTATGAAAAGAGGAAGTTACCAATACATCAAAAAGTAATAAAATAGATGAGGATATACAGGTATCATCAGAAATGAATCATAAAGCGGCACAGATTGTACATCTTGCTATTAATTGTACGTCTGTAGTTTGCTTTTATTTATTTCATTTTTTTAATAGGTTTGATATTTCATAACGCATTATCCACAGCTATTGTAACGCACTAACGGTATGGGAAAACTACATAATAGCAAAGTACATGTTGAAACATTCTCTATCATTTCACAATTGAGATTTATTATGGCTGGTCATGTAGATTCTTACGTGTTAATTTTGTAGTTGAGTATTAACACAAGTTACAACAATGATAACATGTATGGCTTGAGTATCGAGCTTAACAAGTTACTCCTTCCACGGCCACACCGGGACTGACTCTATTTGCTGTGATCTTACAGTTTATCCTAAAGCAATTATAATCTAATTCTGATAGGGAAAGTGTCTTCTACTGATCTACAATTAAACCGTGACCAGTTAATGTCTCCATGGTGGAGAGCATGTCCAGCCAATGTTTCACGGCATGATTCTGACACTAAGGTGACCGCAATTAAACTATCTGTCTGATAAGCCAGCCAGTCACATTAAGATTTAACACAAATTATGTTCTACACTTGAGTGACAAATTTCACTATTAACATCCCCCTGCCTAAGAAAACTTTTACGGTCTAAAAGTTCAGAGATAGCAAACTGCTCATGATACTCAGGCTGAGATAATATTTAGTATGTACACAAACACTGGTAAGTTTACTTGAACAACAGTTAATTCTAAATTCTACAATATACTGTTAACTTCCTTGGATAAGGTACTTCTGTTAGACTGTCACTGTTTGTTCTTAAGGTATACACATCACAACCTTATCACATGTTCACAATTGATGATACATCCAGAGTCAGTGTTCGTCTCCTTTTTTTTCAAAATATATACACTATTCATTCAATTCTGGACAGTCCGTCCGCATTGGCATTTTCCTGGCCCCGTCGATATCTGATTATATAATGAAACTGTTGTAATGCCAGTGCCCATCTTAACAGTCTCTGATTCTTTTGCTTGGTCCTATCAAGCCATTTAAGTGGATTGTGGTCAGTCAAAATGGTAAAGTGAACACCACTAATATAATAGGAAAACGAACACTCCAAACGATAGCTAAACATTCCTTGTCCACTGTAGAGTAATTTTGTTCCCGCGGCAGTAACTTTCTGCTGATGTACGCAATAGGGTGTTCCTTATCGTTGATATTCTGACTTAAGACCGCTCCAATAGCCACGTTGCTGGCATCAGTCTGAATGACGAAGGGCTCTTTAAAATCTGGATTTGCTAGTACCGGTGCCTTGGTCATCTCGTCCTTTAGTTGGTTGAATGCATTTACAGTGTCATCCATCCATTTGGGTTGCCTTGGTTTGTCTTTCCTTAGCATGTTGGTCAATGGAGCCGATATCTTGGTATAATCCGGAATGAAACGCCGATAATCGATAATAACCAGTCATACCTAGAAATGACCTAATCCCTTTTTTGGTTTGGGGGGGGGGAAGTCAACCATGGCTTGAACCTTCCGACTATCTGGTTTAAGCTTTCCTTTCCCGACAATGTGTCCCAGACAGTAAAGTTCCTCTTCACCAAATTGACATTTTGATGGCTTTACTGTTAATCCACTTTCCCGAAGTTTGTCCAATACAGTCTTGATATGTTCAAGGTGTTCCTTCCATGTGTCGCTGTATACCACTATATCATCAAAGTAAGCGAACACATGTTCTACTCCTGCTAACAGTCTGTCCATCGTTCTTGCAAATGTAGCAGGCGCTGTTTTCATACCAAAAGGCATTACCTTGAATTGGAAGTGTCCAAATTCAGTTACGAAAGCTGACTTTTCCTGTGAATCTGGAGACAGAGGTATCTGCCAGTATCCCTTTGCTAGGTCCATAGTGCTGAGGTATTGAGCTTTGCCTAGCTTTTCAAATATCTCGTCCACCCTGGGTATTGGGTACCCGTCACATACAGTTACGTCGTTGAGTTTCCTGTAATCCACACATAGCCGAGTTGTAGTATCCTTCTTTTCCACCAAAACTATTGGAGATGAGTATGGACTTGAGGAAGGTGTTATATAACCACGCTCTATCATTTCATCCAACATTTTCTTCACCTCTTGTTTTTTGGCTTGAGGAATTCTGTATGGCTGTTGTCGGATTGGTTTCTCACACGTTGTCCTCAGGCTGTGCGTAACTAACAATGTTTTTCCTGGATTAGGATTTATGACATCACTGTATTCTTGACAAAGCTGACGGATTTCTTGGCGCTGTGACTTATCTAACATTTTGCCAAGTGTAACATCCAGTGTTACCTCCAATGTTGAATTAGAACCGTCAAAATCAGAATCGGCGATGTCAACCTTTTCGACAAACATGACGTTTTGGACAGCTCTATTGTACTTCCGTAGTAGGTTGATATGATAAACAACTCGTTTACGACGTCCTCCAACATTGACCTCATAGTTGACGTCGTTGACTTTCCTTATGACCCTATATGGTCCTTTCCATTGGGCGACCATTTTTGATGTGTCTGATGGTAGTAATAGTAGAACCTCGTCCCCAGGTCGAAGTTCCCGTTTTGTGGCGCTCCTGTCGTACCACTCTTTGATCTTTTGCCGTTTGATTGTCAGGTTTTCCTGTACTGTTTCTCTAACCATTGCGAGCTTTTCTCTCATCTGAACAACATGGTCAATGACAGATTTTCTAAGCTCTCCTTCACCTGTCATGGCTTGCTCTAAAATCTGTAATGGTCCTCTGACCGGCCATCCATATAGCATCTCAAATGGTGAGAATCCCGTTTCCTCATGGGGTACTTCCCTATATGCAAACAATGCATATGGCAACAGCTCGTCCCAGGCTTCCTGATTTGACGTGCAGAGTTTCTTTAACACAGCTTTGAGAGTTGCGTTAAATCTTTCTACCTTCCCATTAGCCTGTGGGTGATATGGCGATGTTGTTATGCCCTTGATTCCCATCACACGGTAGAGTTCTTGTATCATTTTTGAGGTGAAATTTGTGCCCTGGTCTGTCAGAATAACACGAGGCACTCCTACCCTACTGAACAGTTCCACCAATGTGTTAGCTATGGTTTCTGCGTCCACATTCTTTAATGCAAAAGCCTCTGGGTACCTTGTTGCGTCATCCATAACGGTAAGAATAAACCTGTTCCCCTTCTTTGTTCGAGACAGTGGCCCAACAACATCCATAGATATTTTGTAAAATGGCTCACTAATGATCGGTGGTTGTCCTAATGGAGCTTTCTCGTCACCACGTCTTCTGGCGGTCTTTTGACATACGTTACAAGTACTACAGTATTCCTGTATGTCCTTAAAAATTCCTGGCCAATAGAACGAATTAACGACACGCTCTTTGGTCTTTTCTATCCCTAAATGTCCCGCAAGTGGTCTATCATGTCCCAATTTAATGATATTGAGACGTAGTGCCTCTGGTAGTACTACCTGGACTCCATGTTGGGCTCCATCACTAGACTCCCATTTCCTACGGAGAATCCCATTTTCCCAGTACAGGGCATTCCTATCTTCCTGCACAGATTCCTCTGAACTTGCAGCTTTTCTCCGAATGTTGGCTAAAGTTGGATCTTCCTGCTGAAGCTTACTAAGCACTTCAGCATTTACAGCAGAAAGTTCAAGCGGTTCCTCTGTTGTGATGTTAACTGTATCATCCCCATTGCTGTGGGATACAGTCTCACTGATGTTGTCAATGTCCTCACCAACGCCATCGCCATGGTCCAGGTCCACATCGTTCGCCTGTCCAACATCACTTCCCTTACTGGCATCCACTTGGTCCGTGTCGGGGTCCATTCCAACTTTTACATGGCATTCCTTTGCCTTGTCCTCAGCTAGCCTTTCTTCAGCAATGTTATTACGATGTTGTGCACGCGTAACAACATTCACAGCCTTTGATTGTCTCTCTATGATGTCTACCCCCAACAGGGCTTCAGCGACAAGGTCAGGCACTAATCCGACCTGAGCATGTCCCTGATAATATGGCGTGTCCATATCAACGATAGCCAGTTTGGCGAAAACGGCTGTCCAGTCGCTGTACATCTCCCGCTGACCCTCCAATACACAACTTGGGTCCACCAGGTCTTCCCTAATCAAGGTCATCGCTGACCCAGTGTCTTTCACAAAACTAATATCACGGCCATTGACCTCTCCTGGGACATGGATAAGTCCTCCATTGTCGCACTAAAAATCCTGCAAGATGTTTACCTTCTCTGTTTTTTGGACATTTCCTCGCGAAGTGCCCTTACTTGTTACAATTGTAACACTGCACACTTTTCATTTGCGCTGTCGATTGCTCCTTTCTCTGGTCCCGATCAGAGGTAAAAGTTTTTCCATTTATACTTTTACCTTGCGTTGATTTGTTTATATTCCGTTCAGGTAGAATATAATCCTCTGCGGCTTCAACCACACTGCTTGACCCTTTGTTACGGCGTATCCATTGTGCTTGTGACACTGGCAATGCACTAAGAAAATATTCCTCTTTGAATTTTTCCATGACATCCTCTACTGCGTCCACAAATCTAGTAAGATATTGTTCAATTCTTGCTATAAGTCCTCTGTATGTTTCCTTAGGTTCCCTTTGGGCTGTCTGTAATAGCTTGAAATATTGGTAGGGCCTTTTCCCGTACCTGTCCATTAGGGCTTTACAAAGTTCTTCAAATGACCCATGTGCTTCTACCTCTCTGGCCTTTTGTTAACAAGGACAGCTGTAGCATTTTTACTTCTTCTGTCCATCCAGCCTGTGTTGATAAAGCAGTAAACTCTGATAAGAATGTCACTATATCCTCACTTTCAGCATGATTACAAGGTTGTTTCAGTCTAAACGGCACAGGGTTAGAATTTGTCTCACACCGTTCCTTTTGAAGTTTTGCTTTTTCAATCTCTAATTCCAATTCTTTCACTTTCCTTTGATGTTCTCTTTCCTTTTCTTCGGCGTCCATTCTTATCTTTTCTCTTTCGAAATTCATTTGGCTCTTTTCTTTTTTCGGCTCTTCTCTCTTTTCTCTTTCCAGTTTTTCTTTTCTCTAAGTTCATTTGGCGTTCTTTTTCCTCTTTCTCTGCTTGAATTTCGAGTCTTCTTATTTCCAGCTTTGTTTGTGCTACCGTCATCTTCGCAGTTTCCGTTTCTTCAGGCGTCGACATATTGAACAGTTCTAATGAGCGTTATATCTTTGATAACGGAGTCCTTCTCCTTAGAATGATCCTTTATGTTACCCCACTATGTTGTACTATCCTTATGTTATACAAAAGACCAGCAACAACCGTTCTCAAGTACAAATGTTGAGTATTAACACAAGTTACAACAATGATAACATGTATGGCCTGAGTATCGAGCTTAACAAGTTACTCCTTCCACGGCCACACCAGGACTGACTCTATTTGCTGTGATCTTACAGTTTATCCTAAAGCAATTATAATCTAATTCTGATAGGGAAAGTGTCTTCTACTGATCTACAATTAAACCGTGACCAGTTAATGTCTCCATGGTGGAGAGCATGTCCAGCCAATGTTTCACGGCATGATTCTGACACTTGACCGCAATTAAACTATCTGTCTGATAAGCCAGCCAGTCACATTAAGATTTAACACAAATTATGTTCTACACATGAGGGACAAATTTCACTATTAACACTCTCATATCATCCCATTTTATCTCAATGTCTTTAATTGAAAGTGAGATATTTATTTAACTAAAGACTTTTGTTTTATCCTTGCCCTTTATTAAACGTAGTATATTCTGATTTGATTAAAGACTGTATGTTGTCAAACAACAATTTGAAGAAATAAAACTGTTTGAATCAAATCAAATTGGTGGGAAATCCACATCCACCGAAGATTTGAATTATACAATTACGAACATGTCTGAAATCATGATTATTTAAAACTAATTGATATTGTTATGAAGTAACGTTTTGATAGATAACATGGAGTATTATTTCGACTCTTCAGTTTCGGAAGTATAAAATGGTTCTGTGACAGACATTTACACAAGTACACATGACACGTGTACTCGGTTCCATTCATGTGTACATGTGTCAACAATCGTAACACAAATAATAGAGTTTTGCGGATATCCTGGACTAAAATTTTTAAAAAAATCATTGGAAAGGAAACATTAGGATTAAAAACATATAAGTTAAATGACTTAAAGGAGTTTGAGATTACTGCACTTTCGACTTGTATGACGTACGTGCTTCGATTGGCCATATGCGATGCAGGATGAAATGTTTGATCTATATGTAAAGGTACACATTGTTTGTTTGTGAATGCACACGTGAAGCAAGCTGTTGTACATGTCAAAACAATAAAGATATGACAAAAAATGGTTATTTTCTTCAAGTTCAACGTTTTCTGATTTGATACGTTATGTTAAAAACAATGATTACTATCACTTAATATCACATGATGAACAAATCTAGTTAAAGTAACAATTTTCTTATAATTTTTTAGATATAGGCTATGAATCATATTGGACAAGATCGTTCACGTAACTGCATAAAGCCGTGATCGGTTCATACCTTTTGAACATGAACGTAAATAAGACAAGATATACACTGTATATTCGCTGACATATACCATTATTTAAGGCAATTACCCATATAATAATGTAAGTTTGACTTTAAAACGATTTTGAACGTTTATAAATGAATATATACGTGAGCTGTGTCGTTGTATATTATAGGTAAATAGACTATTGCTATTGACGACGTCAGACTATTACGTCACGCGTCACCTGACCTCATTTTGCCTTCAAAGTAAGCATATTCACCTGATTAATCTGAAATGGACGAGGTAAGCTTTCGTGTCTTTATGTCGAAAGAAACAGGATACCGCGGATTACATGCAATATTGCATCACTTTGTGCTGAAATATGGCATGGTAAAAATCGTGTCCAAACACAATAACTGAACATCTCGATAAATCACGTATGTATGGTCAGTGACATCGCTGCGTTATTTGAAAATGGATTATGATTGACGTAAACTTCTTGTCAAAATATCGGCGAATGGTGCATACAGACAATATACTAAACCTCTAACCGGTAGCCCAGGGCATAGCGGCAATTATAGAAATGATTAAGAGTTATCACAGGCAACCTAACTATTAATATTTTTTATCAAAACAACAGTTTGAGAATCTTTGTTTTCAAAAGGAAAAGTGGAGAAAATAGCGAGGTGCGTTCATTTCAAATTAAAGTTGTTTTCATGAATGATAACCTATGTAAAATATGCAATTGTAATTTAGGTATGAAGTGCTATGACATACACTAGAAAACTTTTGTTGTTATAATGCAGTCATTTGATATATATTTTCCCTCATTCTCCACCAAAGTCGTAATGGTTGACTAAATGGGACTAATTATGTTGTAACAAAACGAATCCAGACCCTAATTCAGTCATGATTTTAACAACATTTAATATACAAACGTCAGATAAAATTATTAAAAGGAAAATTAATAACCCTAATGTAATATTTCATACAGAAAATCGGTTACAATATTGTATTTTTTCATATGGGTGAAAAACATAATACCATGAACGCTATATATATCTAAGTCTATGCAATTATCAGGTACAAATATATATCTTTCTCCTAAATGATTGGTATCACGTTGGCAGTTTTTTTTTTTATTTTAATTTAATAATACAGGTTCTGTGTTTATTTGGTTACAATTGTTTCAATTCTGGAATTTTTTCACAAAATGTGAATTACATGTACATGAAAATATTACCAAATATACTTTTTCTTAGCACTGTGTGTGTATCTGGTATGTTTAGGATCTTGATGACATAAGAGTTCTGAAACAGAATGTGATTTCATTATTACAGATCACATAGGTATTTAACTATATATCAAAACCAATAAGTGGACAGCTGTGTTTAGTTTGACCCAATTATATTTTGACTCCTAAATTTATCATTTTTGGGGAAATATATCAAGTTTGGCGATTTTTTTTGTTTTACCAATTTGAAAGTTGTGTTCCACTGCTATGTCTAAGTGATGAACTATCAGGTTTTTAAAAAAGAATTTGCCAATACACACTTGAAGAAACAATTCCAAAATAATTGTACTCTGTATTGTTTGAATATGATTAATTTGTGATATTTTACTCGATATGTGATAAAGTTTAACTTTTTGGTAGTCCTCAGTAAAGGGACCAATGTAAATGTCAATATCTATACTAATTAAAGTTTTGTTTGATGTTTTCACGTGAATTGTGTTAGTTTTAACAGGTTAAACCATTATAGAGATATTTGATCTGTCTTGTTTGACAAGTGAAAGTCTACTGAATCATATGCATATATTAATGCACATTAGACAACTGGAAAAGGGTCATATTCTCGGACGAAAGAAAAATTGTTATTGGAATGGACCACCGTCCAGATAGCACGATAGTTGGAAATGTTTGCTTGTATGTCAAATAAAACTCCAATCCCGCGTTACATTTGTAAAATTGAAAGAATTGAGAGAAATACAAAAATGTCTGGATAAAGATTACACCTGCCTACATCCTCAGCTTATTAGACCCCTTGACGAGTTTTACGACATTTTGTATCGACCGTATTTATGTCAAAATCTAAACACGCCGCCATTGTGACCGAATGCTTTCGGCACGTCACTTTATGCGTACCTAAACTTGTTTTTCTTATTTCTTTATCGTCATATCAATCTGGTAAATAATATATGCATGCTTTGCAGTGACTGTAGCGCATAGTGCGTTACTTATTGTGTAACGATTTAATTTTTTTTTTTTCAAATAAATGACATGTACTGCAGTTCATCGTCACAAGGATGCATATTATAAATAAGCGACTTAGTAAACTAAAGACTGAATGTTAGTAAGATAAGAAATAGAAGTGAATTGGTTCTATAGTGAAGTGATCAAATAAAGCTGATATATCCTATTTCAACTGGTGAATATTCCTACTTTTTATAGAGGGAATTGATAGCCAATGTTTCAAACGTAACAACAGATCTTTTATTGTTGATCTTTGATCAATAGATTTCATCAGATATGTATTTTACTGCTATCGTGTTTGCTTGAACATCCATAATTGGTGATATACTGTCCGATATATGGTGAGGTATGATGTCGATAACTTTGATTGAGGGGCCAAATAATCAAATATTAATGCAAACAAGTATATTTAAAGCACAATGACAACATAAGTAAGAGTGACGTCTAGTGATATCTTCTGCATTAGTGCCGGAAAAAAATTCAGGAAAACAAAGTGTTGTTAGTCAAACAAACTCAGGTGGACGAGAGAAAAACCGAAATGGGTGTGTAGTACAACAAAGAAAAAAAAAGATAATATTTACTACTCCAGTCAGGCTGCAGCAGGATACTTACATACTGAAATAAAAAAAAAAAAAAAAAAAACGATTAGGAAAAATGATAATATGAAATTTGCATATACAAGTCACGACAAGTTAAGTCAACTTCTCAGCATGCATTGATTAAATTAAAATCAACAAATCTAAAAGGACATTTTGTGTCGGATGAAACATAAAATTTCCGGTTATTGAGATTAGTAAATGTCCTAATATGTTACCATTAGTTATCTGCAAATGCAAAAGAAAATGAAATATAAAACAATCGTCTATTACTTATCGGTGGGGGGAACGAGGTTATTG